CCAATTACGCAAACTACCTGTCTCACCTCTTTACCCTTTTCCTTGATTTTTTATAATATTTTCTAATATCTAATATTTGTTAGTAATGTCAGTAACAATATAGTAATTATAATGTTTATAACAAAAATAACTGTCAATATTGATAGCATTAAAAAAAAAAAAAAAGTTTTTCCCGCTTTTTCAAGGAAAAGAAAGGTCGCAAGATCTACTAATTGACTCCTTTATGGCTAAGCATTGGCAGAGCCATATATGTAAGAAACATTAACCAGCATTGCCAAAGGGAACGCACCATTTTTCCATTGACATTGGGTTAATCATGTTTAAACAGATTTTGTATGAACATAGTTCTGGGCAGGCTACATATAATATATATTTTTTTTACATACTAACATGTGATCTCTAGATAATGCCAAGTTGTCTCCCTCTGGTTGAAAAATATTTTGATATGACTAAAAAGAGCTCATAAGTGTGTAGCCCAGCACAAGCAGAACATGGTTTTTCATAGTTCATATGTCTTAAATCCTCTAATCAGGACAATGGATATTGAATGAACCTTGTTTAGAACATTGCTCACACTGTTCCTGCGTACACAAACTTCTTGTATTGTCTTTTGTAATGGTTGATCATAGTTCGCAGTAGCACTCTTTTTCACAATGACAAAGTGGACATTGCCTTCTTCCTCACCTTCACCCACATCCTCATCTTCTGCAGCTTAGCCTTCTTTCCAAAATTTAGATATAACTTCAAATAATTTCAAGCACCATACCAGCATAATAGTATGATGATAAAGAGAAGACCAAGAAATAGAATAGCATTTTTTTTTTTTTTATAATTTTCTTTCATACTACATGCCTTGTTTTGACCTGGTCCATAAACAATGTCTCCCATTTCCTAATAACAATTAATTGTAATTGCATCTTGTCAATTTCATAAGTGATCTTCCTTGTGTCTCATATATGTGACACCCGGGACGGATGGGTTAATAATCTTTAGCAAACCAAATAAATTTCCTCCTTTACTCTCTTGGTCTTTTGTAGTTTTGCATTTAAGATAAACTTATGCAGATATGTTATACTCCCAGCTGCTCTTTTATAAAACAGCAAGTGCTGTGAATCATGAAAAATGGATCTGATAAAGTATCAATTCTTTGTTCCATTGTAGCTTCCTAAAAATGCAAATGGGAAGCTGTCCTTAACTGTCATTTCAAATAAAGCAAAATTAGGAAGACTTAGTAGTTAGAGTTTATTATAAAATTAGATGGAATGAAGCAATGGAGGAGTGGAACTTGTTTTACTAAATTTCACTGAAATTATGTAGGATTTTAAAATTCTACTGTTATTACTTCTCAAAAGGCTTTTGATGTAGGAAAATAAAAATAGAAATACAATCATTGTTATATATTTGTGTAGAAATAACATCTGACGTATCATTGACAAGATATACAAAAGCTCATTGAGTTTCACACAATCATAAACATCACTTCCTTAATCTTACAAGCACAATCTGTTTTCCAGACTTTGTCTCATTTTTATACTTGATTTTTTAAAATTGAAAATGTCTAGATTAGATATAACTCAACTAAATATAAAAGATAGACTTACATATAAATAAATAATAAATATAATGAGATGTGTGGTGTGTGTGTGTGTGTGTGTGTGTGTGTGTGTGTGTGTGTGTGTGTGTGTGTGTGTGTGTGTGTGTGTGTGTGTGTGTGTGTGTGTGTGTGTTGTGTGTTGTGTGTGTGTGTGTGTGTGAGCGTGCGCATGTGGGTTGGGATGGATGGGTGGGGGATGTGTAGGTGGTTAGAATAGGTGGACGTGCATAGTGTGGGTATGTTTGAGAAAAGGTAAATTTAGTCTTGTAATTACATGTATAAATGATTTTTGCTCATTAGACTACAGAAACAATAGGTACATTCTACTTGATGATTAATATCTTAATCGCACTTGTAATGTCACATCATGGAACAGGAAACATTTAAAGAGAACAACAGTAACAAGGTTTCTGTACCTGACACCCCAAAGACTCCTTCCAGCTTCTCTTCAGAGCAAGGACAAATATCCAGACTGTCACATCAATTGCCTTTTTATTCCATCTAGAAACAATACCAACTAATCTTTTTATTTTTCCATCTAAGATCGAAAATAGGTCCTAGAGACCTGATCAGTTGCTGCACACAGCCAAAACTTTCTTTAGGTTTGACATCAGCCAATGAGAGACTTCCTATAGGGATGCTCCCCTAATCTTGGATTAGGGGAGGATCCCGATTCCATTACCAAAAGTTCATCAAATGCTGGTCGTCATCACATTCTTGACCAAAGCTGAGACAAGGGAGACACAGCTAGGTCTGCATAAAATGTTAACAAAGAATAGTATCATTCTCTGTAAAAGAATCCTCAAACATTAATATCACGCACACTATCATTACTTTATTGTGAAATTCTTTGGTAAAAATGTAAGTACAAAATGGGTGAGAAGAATCTATTGCACATGTTTTTGGTTAAATAGTGGGAACACCATCACAGTATTTATACATAAACTGTAGATTACACAGATACTGAACAGGAAGCATTTCTAAACATTAAGGCATTTTAAAGTTTATTTGTGTCCTTTCCAAAAGCTATTTATCCATGAATATGATTAGCAATTGTTCTTAAATTTATGTGATGTTCTTATGATAAAGAAATGTAATGATTTACAAAAGAAGCAAAAAAAGAAAAGAGAGAAAATAAGGATGACCTATCTTGCTTGTAAGGTTGATAACATTCTCAAATCTAAAATGAATGTTAAGCATCTAACTCTCAGAATCCTAACATCAAAAACAGTTTTAACCTACAAGCAAAACATACATTCAAAATTCACAAAAAAAACAAAAAAAAAAATTAAAGCATAAAGAACCTTGATGCTCTTAAAGATAAGCTATTTTTTAAAATGTGCTTTCTCTCTTTAGTATATATATAT